AGCAAACTTAACATGACATCCATGAAATTATACTCAACCAACAACTTCTTTGAAACATTATGATGTTAGCTGAAATGTCCTGTTATTTTACCTGGCAGGCATTTTGTTTTGATAAGTTACAGTACTTCAGTTCTAGGTTTCTCATATATACAATTGTATAGATATTACACTTGAAACTGTACAAATGTAAATACTGAAACTATCGTTAATTTTATATGTGAAGTGTTTGTCTGACCAAACCATATTTTTATTTTCCTCTATGAGGCACAAACATCAAAACAAATGTAAAGGTTTCTTGCAAAAGAAACCTTTTTAAATATTTCCCTTAAGATTATTAGTGCATAAGTTATCAATTATATCTAAATGTAATACTGTTGTTGTTGGATTGAGTTTTCTTTTCCCGTCTTCAAGGTATAATTATTTCTGATAAAATTAAATCCACAACTGTAGTTGCTGTGATAAAAATCAGATTTCAATAAAACTGGCACTGGAAAAGTACTTATTAAATTATCGATTTTTATACTGCATACAGTTAATTTTTTAAGCCTTGTTAATAAATATTACTGAACTTTTAAATTTTGTAATGACAGGGAGCCTTAGTTTAGCAACTCTTCATTCAGTGACCATTTGAAGTTATGACAATGCTGAGCAAAGAAACTTATGATACAGTGCTGAAGTAGGAAAGTTAACAAATAGTCCTCAAAATTGTGGTTTTTGCAGCATGCTGCTGTCACTTGATCACCACTTATGACCTTAATTGCCAGCTTCTGATAATCAAAATAAATGGAGAGCATGACATTGAAGAGGATTAAACGGCAATCACATGACATTGTGCCTAATGATCACATGGGAAAACAACCACAACTATAACTGCCATTGTAAGTCAACATAATCCCATAATATTGATGCCGGATCTAATCTGGATCAGTCACAGAGACCAGATTGTGCTAGCCTCTGCCTGGGACATGTATATTTGCCTTCATGATATCGAATTTTATGATCACACAGCTTGATGAGTTCCTACTCCCAATTACCATTAACTGAGCACTACCAATATGACTGCTGTTGATGTCAGTTCACAATTATGTGAATATAACATTTTCCTTACAGTACAAATATACAATTCTTCCAACGATTATGGCATAAGGGTTGAAGACCAGAAAAAAACCTGGGGAAAATCCCCAAAAAGGTCTGCAGGAAAATTCCCCACCCTGTTTTCCTACCAATCAATTTATCTTTATTTGGGATTGCAGGATGCCGTCTCCAGCTCCATACTCGGGGAGGGGGAGAGAGAGAGACTTTTGGCTTCATGCAAGGAAAGCAATAGAAGCAGCAGAAGTCTTTCTTTCTCTCCCCCAAACTCTGCCAGAAATGAGTCTTTGTGAGACTTGTTGCACCGGCGCAACCTCTTAGGACAGGATGCCTTGCAGAGTCCCAAGACTCATTTCTGGCGGAGTTTGGGGGACGGAAAGAATGACTTTTGTGCTTTCCTTGCATGCAGCCAAAAGCAGAACAAAGAAACAAGTGGAAAGAAGCAGCCTGGTGGCCAGGTGAGGCACGTGGGTCGAGTGCAACAGGTTCCCCCCTCCCCCTTTCTCCCCTCCCCTCACTACCTCGTGTTCTTCGCAGTGCAATCAACGCAAGCCTTGTGTTCCTGCGGGCCATGTGGTGGTGCAGCCTTGTGTTCTGCGCAGCCTAGATTAATTGCTTTTGGGGTGACATTTCTTTATGGACCACCAGTGGTCCCCGGCCCACTGGTTGGTGGCTACTGTTCTAAGATACACAAAAAAAAACTGAATAGTTAACAGCTTGGAACAAAATACTTGAAACTGATAAAGCAACACTAATATTCAGTCACAACCAAACAAGAAAAAAGGATGCAATAATTGAAGAAACCTTGATTATTGTTAAGGATATGGATAGTTCTCTTATGTTTTGGGGGTGGGATAACATCCAGCAGCACAGCATATATTTTGCAAATGCAAAGAGGAATAAGGTCAATTAGATATCAGCATATCCTGGAACAGTGGTTGCCAACTGGTAGGTTGCAGACCACTGATGGTCTACAGGAAAATTTTGGTGGCCTGTAGAGAAATGTGCCCCAAACCAATTAATCTAGGCTGCGCGGGAACACAAGATTGTGTTGCCTACATGGCCCGTGGGAACACAAGGCTGCGCCGCCCACATGGCTCGTCCACCCACTGGCCCCCACCCTTCTGCCAAGCGCAAACCTTACCTTGTATAGAATCACGTGAGCTGGAACTGGAAGGTAAGACCAACGGTAGGGGAGGGAAATCTGCCCTGGGGTGGCTTGCTGATGGTGGGAAAGACCTTCTCACCATCAGCAAGCCACCTTCAGTCAAAATTCATATTAGTGGTCCGTGGGATTTAAAATTATGAGTTTGGCGGTCCCTGAGGTCCAAAAGGTTGGTGACCCCTGAACTAGAACAGTTCTGCAAGGAAAAGAGGGTGGAAAGTTTCTAAAAGCAAGAAAACTAAAACTATATAGGAATGTTGCCATTTCTGGCAAAAGAGACTTCAAAGTCCAAACTTTTGCTCTTGCCATATTCACTTGTTTTTAATTTACACAACTGCACATGAACAGTAAATATATGCAGCTGGACCAGGTTGCCAACTTTTATATGCAAATATATGTTAATTAGTTTTGTACTGGCTGTCTCATTCTGGAAAAATTGCAGGGGAAATACAAAAGTTCCGCAATTTTGAGCACATACCATGTCAATTTTCATGGCCATAACTTCATGACCGGAAAAAGACACCAGTTTTTGTTCCTGTTTTGGTATTAGAGCTGAATTGATCATGTGAGTTAAAAAGTTTCCCAGGGTCAGATTTTTCTGGGACAGATGTTCTGCTCAGGGAAGTATATCAGTTACAAAGCTGTTTGTTGGTGATGGTAAACAATTGAGGAGTGATTTCATGGGTCTCCTTCACAATTAATAAATGTATTTCAAATGCCTGCACGGATTATGGGTATTAAGGTAGGACAGGAAGATACGAAAATGTTCCTATTCAAACATTTTTAGAACACCTCTTTTATTATTTCATATAATTCTTCAGATACAATTGCAATCCAATTAAAGACTCTTTGATGGTGCTCTTTATTTTCTTGAAATTGATTCTGTACATTCTGGCAATTGCAGTAATACTATGGCTATCTCGTGTTACATGTTTTCCTTTTGAGCATAAGGTGGTATACTACTACTGAGGAAAAATTATTAGAATGTACTATTGTATTGAGAAACATGTACTAGAAACAAAACAATCTGTTTCTGCAAAGAGCAAGATCAACGTAAGAACAAACCAAGAATGGACAGTATTAAAATCATGAGGTTTATCTTTCTTTAAAAACAAATAATACTAAAGTTACTTTTCAGAAAGGACTGTTAATGCCAGTGCCTACTATGATAGTGGTACTTATTTTAAAGCAATTTATTGGGACCATTCCCCTTTTTAGAATAAGGTGATATTTGCCAAAGGATTAAGTCTCCCATAATCCTAAAAGTAGGAACTCAGACCATTTCAAGCTTTCTGCCTTCAATTTTCTCATCTAAAAAAATATCTCTCCTCCTGTCAGGAAAGAATGAACAATCTAATGTATCATTTCCCTCTTCTCAATCAGTGCTTACTTTTTCCTTGAATTAGGGAGCTTTAGAAAAAAATGGGAGCTTTATAGGGCAAAGTTGCCTGTATTGTACAACTTTTTCAATATGCTTGCTGATGCAGGATTCAATTGCAAATTAAAAGGCTTGCTAAAATAATTTATAATCCCAGATTTATTTTTCTTCTTCAATCTATTCCCGGGCACTGCTTGCCCTGCAGTTTTCTTGGCAAGGTTTTTCAGTAGTGGTTTCTCATTGCCTCCTTCTGAGAGAAAGGGCTGAGAGAAAGTAACTGGCCCACAGTCACTAAGATGGCTTTATGTCTAAGGTGAGACTACAACTCATGGTCTTCTAGTTTCTAGCCTGATTTCTTAACCACTAAATTGGCCATTCTAGGTACAAATTAATCCTAAATATAAAGTTTAAGAGAGCTCATGAATGATATAATCTATATTGTATAATTCCCACTATTAAGATAAAATGTGATTTGTTTTTGCTTAGCATGGTATGCAACCTTGCCTCACCTGCAAATTGGAGTTCACAGTTAATGTAGTCCACCAATAAAACCGCAAACAATATATTAGTTTTGGCAGGAATCATTCTGTAGCCTAGATACACCTCACAAAGAGATTCCTTCTGGATTCACAATCTACAGGTAGTCCTTGACTTATAAGCACAATTGAGCCAAAAAGTTCTGTTGATAAGAAAGTTTTAAAGTGAGTTTTGGCCCATGTTACGACCTTTTGCCACAGTTGTTAAGTGAATCACATTAGTAACATGGTTGTTAAGTGAATCTGACTTCCCCATTGACTTTGCTTTGTTAGAAAGTCACAAAAGGTGGATTATATGACCCCAGGACACTGCAACCGTCATGAATACATGCTAGTTGCCAAGCGTCCAAATTTTGATCACTTGACCACGGAGATGCTACAATGTACTGTGAAAAATGGTCGTAAGTAACTTTTTTCCAGTGCCATTGTAACTTCGAACAGTCACTAAATGAACGGTTGTTAAGTCGAGGACTACCTCATATTAGTCAATTTTTGCAACTTCAGTTTATGGTTAAACAGACACCCATCTTGGCCCACTTGGCTTCTGTTTTCTCACAATAAAGACTCCGGAGTGGCCAGATCACAGGTGACAGTATTTCCACGTTTGTAGACAGTAACTTTTTTTTTTTTTTTGCTTCGTGGGAAGAAGCCTTGGGAGCTCCGCTCTCTTCTACTAGAAACCGGTGTGAAGATCAGAAGGGATTCCCTCGCTCGAAGGAGGAGCCGCAGATAGTTCCCTGGGCGGACTGCCTGCTTCAGAAAGAGATGGCCGAGGGTTTCGGTCGGGACGGGGGAGGAGTCGGAGTGGGAGGAAGGGTGTTTCCTTGCACTATTTCCCGGTTTGACTCAGGCAGGAAACTTCCAGCGTCCGGCGGCCCTGGAAGGGAGCGCGGGGGTAATCCCGAGGCGCAAGAGCTGAAGGCAGCGCTGGGGACAAAGCCTAAGGGGAGTGAGGCCGTCCCTCGGAACGGCTTGCATCTCTGGGCGTGAGGAGAAACCCACAGGGCCTCCTTGGCACGAAGCTGGGTGAGAAAAACTTCCATCGATTTCCCCTTCCGCTTTCCTTCCAAGAAGAAGAGGGACCCCCCGCGCCAGGCGGCTCTTATTTTCATTTATATAGCGGTGCCCGTTCCTGCAGGGCGGCTCTCTCGTGCAGGTGGCCGCGCACACTTGAAATACATTTATTTCCACTGCGCGGCCTAACCGGGCGGCCCACTTCTCGTAGATTTGGGCGGGTCTCTCTCCAGTTCCAAATTCCGTGAAAGTTCAAGCTTCCGGGACATAAAAATTCCAATTTCTTCCGCGGCGCCTAATAAGTTTGTGCTAGGAGCTGCGCGGAGGAATACCGAAGAGGCTGCATTGAACAAGTCCTGTCTGGGTGCAGAGCTTCGGCCTTGGAAGCATCGTCCTTTCAGTGGGATAAGCCCCGGTGTCGGAAGCAGCCTTTGGGGAGATAAGGGAGGGCGAAAGAAGGTTGCACACTAGGAACTCTGATGGAAAGGGAAGAACTGAAGGGGTAGCTCTCCATCTTACTGAAGTTGCGATCCATTTGAAACAATTCAGACTTGAGTGCCTTTTCTTCAAGTTTGCCTTAATTAACAGAAATTGCAGTGTAGAGTAATTGAGTAATCGCGTTTTTCCCGAAGTTTGAAAGAAATCTCAGCCAATTTCACTTCAGACTTGTGAATAAATTCAGAATTCTTAACCAACCCATTCACAGATTTTATTAATTCATTTTGGTGACCGAGTGTCCTTTTATTACGAAATAAGGGTTCATGAAAAGCTGGGAATGAACTTTCCTAATAATGGCATCATGCACATAGTTTATACTTCTAATTAAAATTCATTGAGGGAGTGGGAAATAGTCTGCTAATGTTTACTGGTGTGGGAGGAAGTAGATCAGAGCTGTAATCTAGTGGGTATACTTTGAAAGTTGCAAATATATTTCAGGATTGATTATGTTTGCAAATCATCTATTAGTTAATTGCTTAATTAATTTTCTGTATTTCTATAATATATTGAACTTAAAGCTAAAATGTTTCCATTTTCACTAAAGGATATCATAGTTGGTAATTTGGCTGACTAGCTTCTAAGGTAATATGTAGTAGATTGTGAACAAACATGTAATGAAATGCAGATTATATATCTTCAACATTTGCTGTCTTTTATTTCTTCTTTTTACTGACGATTTTGGAAACTTTGAAAGGCTGCATATTACTTTGTGTTCAGTAAGTTGACTTAATAAAGCAACTGCTTTTATCATAGATTTTACATTTCAATTACAACATGTTTTCTATACATGTGATTGTATCAGAAACTGTTAAAAGTTTTAAGAAAATTGGTTTGGGGGAAAAGGTAGGTAATTGACGTCTGAAGAAATGCATTTCCTTCTTTTATAGAATTGCCTTTGCAGTTCTCAGTTTCTTGCATTATAGACTTGTATGCTTTTCATTATGCATGGTTATGGATATACATAATGAACAAGACTGTTATTAAGTTTTTTTACAAATGCTTTCTTTTTTCTTCGTTTTTTGTATTTAGTCAGCAATGCACTGTTAAAATTGATAAATATAGATATAAGAAGCTACTATAAATTTTCATGTCCTTGTACTAAGATAACAGATTTGTGGTAAATATGGTGGAGGAACTAGTTACTTTCAGCCCTTAAACTAATACAGAAACTAATTTGTTAGAGTAGCTTTAACCACAGGGTTCATGCAATAGATGTACATTGTTAGTTGCTATGTAGGTTTTCTTTCACAGTTGGTTTCTGATGATGACACTTATTGCAAATAAATATTCAAAGAAAAAAAATTGCAAAATAAAGATCATAAAAGGTTCAATCAACTGCTTCTTCCATTAGTTTTCCTATCAGAATCTGAAAGGAAAACTAGTGGAAGAAACAGTTGATTGAACCTTTTATGATCTTTATTTTGCAATTTTTTTTCTTTGAATATTTATTTGCAATAAGTGTTTTATTTTCCTCAGTTTTTGTTTCTAAACATTTATATTCCATTTTCCTCTAGATGCTCAAGGCAGTGTACAAAGTGTACTTCTCCACCCCCACCCCCTTTCCCCAATAGCTTTGAAATGTATGTTGGGCTGAGAAAGAAGGACTTCTCCAAAGTCATTCATCCATAATATGGATTTATTTTATTTTAGCAGAAGAAAGGTTTTTTTAATTTTTAAAATTTTATTTTTAAAAAACAAAAGTACAAATCTCTATTCACATTAACAATGTTCGTGTCGTTATTAATACATACCTCTCCTTTTATACATAAACATCAGCTCTTATTTCTATCCTCCACCCATTTGTACCACCTATCCCAAACCGCGTAATAGTCCGAATCATCTTTGCCTCTTAATTCCATTGTGAATTTATCCAGTTCCACACAATCCATTATTTTTTGTGTCAAGTCTTCTTCAGATGGTATCTTTTCCTTCTTCCATCCCTGTGCGAAGGCTATTCTTGCCGCAGTTATGATATGTATAATGATGTATCGGATGACCTTGCTCAATTTCCCCTTAATTATTCCTAATAAGAATATTTCCTGTTCAAGTTCTAATTTGTGCTCTGTAATTTCTAATAACCATCTTTGTACCTTCATCCAATATTTTTTAACCTCTGGACACTGCCACATATGGAAGAAAGTTCCTTCTTTGTGTTTACACTTCCAACATTCTGCTTTTGTGTTTGGATACATTTTGGCCAGTATTGCTGGGGCTTGGTGCCACCTACAAAACATTTTATATTGATTTTCTTTAAATGCTGTTGACAATGTCAATTTACAGTTATCAATCCACATTTTTTCCCAATCCTCTAAATTTATATTATGCCCTACATTTTTCGCCCAGGCAGAAGAAAGTTTTACCTGATCAAAGAAAAAATTAGTAAGCTTTCCCCAAAACATAGCATGGCACATAGCTCTGTGGAAGAAAGATGCAAAGTGCATAGTTGGAGGACTCTTTGACGTTGCTTTTCCTCTTCTCATATGGCAGTTGCTGTTAACAGGGAAGAAACAACTGTTGGATTGAGCTCTATGATGGTCTTCTGCTTTCCTTCCTTGAAATTTCTCTCAACTGCAGATGCCTTTTCTGATAGATGATGGAAAGGGTTTTCTGGATTACTTCCAGATGGTAGAATTAACTTCCTTTGAACTTGTCATTTACAACTAGTACCCACTCTTTTTGCTTTCAGTTTGGATGACAACCTCTCTTTCATTCTTTTGAAGTGCTTGAAATAACAGCTTTGGTTCTGGTATAATTATATTTAACAGTCGTCTTAAGGTGTGATAAAGTGAAATTAATATGTGAGAACCAGTCATGTTTAATCAGGTTAACTAGAAAAAATGTCCACTGTTTATCTTAATTCTGCCCAATGCTTCATCCTGGCCTGCTAAAATACTCTAACTAAAATACTCTGTATCTTGTTTTGAACAGTGTGAAATTTTGTACATTTTGTTTTAAACTGCATGAAATGTTGTGTGCTTATTTAAAAGAGTGCATCAAATTATGTTGTACTTCAGATGCAGCAGAGACATGGTATAGGTGTTCCTTAAAATATATTAGCTGCAGACCAAATCAGGAATTAAAGTACATTAACTTGGCATCAAAGTAAACAAACTAGGTTGTCTTGCAAAAAAAGTGGCAGTGGGAGCAATTTTTGACTACTTACTGACTTTCCCATTGACTTCGCTTGTGGAAAGCAGTAAACATTGAAAATTATGATCTGTGACCATGGATGACTTTAGCAATACAGCAGTGACAACAACTTTACCATATAAGTGGTGTGAAGATATTTGAAATTTCAATCCAATGGGAGTAATGGATCCTGGATTTTGGACACATTTTTAAGTTAGCCCAGGAAAGGACAAGAAACAATGGATGGAAACTAATCAAGGAGAGAAGCAACCTGAAATTAAGGAGACACTTCCTAACAGTGAGGAAGGTTCAATCATAAAAGGTTCGATCAACTGTGTCTTCCACTAGTTTTCCTTTCAGATTCTGATAGGAAAAGTTTGCTATCAGAAGTTGTGGTGCTTTATCACTGGAGGTTTTTAGATGACACTGGCAGTCACTTATCTGAAATGGTATAGGGTCTCCTGCTAAAGCAGGGGTTTGGACTAGAAGACCCCCAAGATTCCTTCCAGCTCTTGTCCAACGTCCTCATAGTGCAGCTTTCATCTCATTCCTAACTCACATTTTTCTTTCAAATTACAATTTCTATTTTTCCAACCAGCCTTGCTGTATGAACAATGACAGTTTCATGATGATGTCTGGCTGGTATCCGCCAAACTCCTACTGGACACTTTTAGTTATTAATGGAACACTCCCTTTCCTCTGTTCCTGGTTACTTTCCATGGCTAATTTGATTTAGGCTGCAGGACAAGTTAGGTTCCTAACTTCCACAGAGGCACCTGCTGATGCATTTCTCAATGCTCTATGCATTATTTCTTGTATACTTAACATTCTTTTAGAAGAGTGCTAGACCTGTTTTTAAATTCATGTTTTCTTCTTCTGAAGAAGCAGACCTGTATTTAAAACATATGTGTAACTAACCCTTTCTTCACAGATAATTAGTTTAAACTGGGAAAGAGCGAAGTTCTGCTAGAAATGTTTTGTTGGTTCTATTCCAAATGATTATGTTACAGGTTTTCAGTTCTTCCTGATGATAAGGGTGTCATGTAACCATAGTGGCGATTATTGAGGTGTAAGCTCTGCTGGTGCTTTATATAATCCATAGCACAGAGGTCTCCAATTTCTGGTTCGTGGATTGACTAGTCTGCAGCATGCCAGAAACGACCACGCAAAGAAGCACAGTCCCATCCGCAGGATGCATACAGCACATGCAACCATGAGCCCTCTAGTCTGTGGAAAAACCTCCCTCCATGGAACCAGTCCCTGGTGCCCAAAAGGTTGGGGGCCCACTGCCAAAGCATACTTGTGACTGCTGGTGGCCATTTGTTGTCAGCGTTGCATTTTATTGTTGCACTTAGAGATTTTGTGTCAGGCTTCTTGCAAGCTGATCTAGAAGTTAATAAACAGGCACCAGGTTTATGATAAATAGACTATAGAAAAGTGAAAGAACCCATTATAAAATAATTTCCAGCAACTGATGTGCATTAGTTAGTTATAACGAAACCAGGGTACAAATTTTTGTATCAATGTGATGACTGGATTAGAATCTATATTGTTTGTTTAAAAGAAGGAATGGTTTTGGTAGTCTGCCATCAAGCTGCTTGCTTGTATAGATTTTGAGATCTGAATATCACGTATGGATTATTATGGGAGCTGGTGTGAAATTGACAAATATCCTACCAGTTTTGTCTTGTAGTTTAAGTGGCTACTTCTAAATGCAACCAGTGAATCAGAAATGAAGTTTCTTATAGTTCATCCACTGAATCTGTTGATCTGTCACTTAAACTGTTTTTGAATAAGGGCCTAATCGTGGACTAAGGCGGAGGACAGTCTTGATCTGCATTAAGAAGAAATTCCCTTGAGACTTCATGTGAGCTTCCTCCAGCTTCAGCCTGCATACTTCCTCTGCCTTCCCAACTGTTTATGCATCTATAAAAAAACTTTGAATTGATGTAGTTGTCATCTCTAAAGAGACAGTTTTGTTACCTGATGCCAGTGTAATTTATAATAATAAAAAGGCTACTCATTTCAAACAGTTTAAAATAAACAACACTGAGCTATGTGTTAATATGCTACTTTCTTTTGAATTAAGGCATTTGTGCTTTTTCTCTTGATTTTTTTTTGTCAGATACTGGTTATTGTTGCTTTCTTATACCAAAAATAAGGAACTTACAGCAAATGCTGGTCTCTTAAAACTCTCAAATGTTCCTTTTTATATAAAATTCATGTGGCTAAAGATAACTGAAACAATTGATAGCAGTTTTGCAGAATAATGTGGACATGAAATAGTTGCAATTTCATTATTCATACTAATAAACTATTTGTGTGACTTACATGTGTTTACTCACCACTTACTAGATTTGGTTCTCTTGATAGCAGTAAGCTTAAGCTAGTATAGCACTGTGTGTAACTTTTTGTTTTACATATTGATTTTGGATTTTTATTTTATAAAACATCCAATTCAAAAAGATGAAACTTCTATTTTGAGTTTGATGTGCATGCTTTGCAGCATTTTGGAGGCATTTTGCCTCTACATCCACGCCTACTCACAACAGCTCTGAAACAAAATGTCAAATCTTCCAAAATGTGCACTATGTCCAGTTTTACATTTACAACACCGCTTTTTAAAGTATTTTTCACTTTAAATGTTTCAGAACTAGGAGGTTGCATGTCCTTAGATTCAATATTGGAGAACCCAGAAAACAAGTGCTCAATTTGTAGGGAACTACTTATGTTGGCTTTCAATTAGTGCCTTTGCTTTTTGTTTATTAATTTGTCTTGTCTTTAACAAATTTTGTACAGTAATTTGCTTGAAAAACCTTTTGGCTGGGGTTTGTACTCAATCCTAAGAAGGGACTGGGGTATTAAACAAAATCAGGAGAACTAGTATGTTAAGGTAACCCTGTTTTGTAGATTGGGACCATTTAATGTGCCAAGGTTTTAGTAAATCTACAGTAAATCTTGGGTAAAATCAAGTTAAACGGTCCACTTTAATTACAGCTGGGTCAAGGTTTAGGTTGAATCACAAATTAGTTTTACATATGTTGAGGTTAACATGTTATCTGAATGTTGCTTATATTAGTCTTCATTGATACAATATACTGTTATAGTTTCTTTTATATCTTGAAGAATAGCAAAGGTTTGAACTGGTGTTGGAACTTGAAAGATACCATTTATTTTGAAGGTACTTATATTCATATTCACTTTGGTTTCTCAGTTCTCAAGGGAATATGTTAATTGTGGTTTGTATTTTCCCATTTTCAATACAGGAAATACCAGTAGATCTCATTTAGCAATAGCCTCATTTGGCAACTGGTTTGCATTACAAACAGCGATGAAAAAGTAACTCGTACTGCACAGGCAATCTTCACATTCATAACCTTCATGGGTCTGTAAAGCAAAGCTGAAGTAAGATCATAAGCACAGTTGCAGTTTTACTAAGTTGCTTCACTTAATGACCAGGTTGCTGATCCCAGTTGTGACCTCTAATCACAATTTTTGTATAATTTTACCTGGGTAAAAAATTCAAGGACAATTGTATTTTGAACACATTTGCAATGTTTATTTCTACCGTAAAAGCTACAAGGAATATCAAAACAACTAAAGACATCAGGTTGTTTTCCCAATTAAATAGAATCTTATTAGTCTTCCCTGAGGTGATTTTTTTTCTGCTGCTGATGAATTGATTTGCCACCAAAGCTGGTTATTTGGTGGACCTGCTTCCAATTTTTTGAAGAAGCAACTAGGAAAAATTCAAGACGACCTTTGGACAATTGAGCACCAATAGAGAGGGGGACTTGATGGCCACAATTCTCAATCAGTAGGTCATCTTTTCTCTTCAGCTGCTTTTTTTTTTCTTAAACATTCCTGGGTTTTAAATGCACTTTTTGCAGCTTTACAATTTCTTGGATTGTGACTAGTTCACTTCTGATCTATTTTATAACCCCTTGCTGGACAACTTTTTTTTTTAATCTTTTACTGTTTACTATTAAATTCCCAAATACTTTTTAACCATAAGGAGGTTTGTGGTGAAAAATAGTTTTTGGCAGTGAAAGTCATTCAATTAACCCTACAATTACAGAGTTTTGCATTAGAAATTTAGCTCTCTCTAGTTTTTTTTAAAAAGAAGAACCTTGATATTTATCTCTTAAATGTTGATAGGAAAATTTCCTTTTCTTTAAGCCTGGGATGCTTTAAGCCTGAAATGGGGGAACTGTTCCCTGTGGATGCTGGGTTATGATTTATATGTTTCTCTTGTCCTTGAAGAAAGAACGAAGTGTTTCTCATGCTTCCAAAAGAAGATACATATTTTGATGGGTCAGTAACAGTAGTGCAAATTCAATGTGATATTCATCTGCCAAAAATGATTAAAAGAATACAAATATAAGAAATTCTGAGATAATGGAATTGATAGCAATAGCACTTAGACTTATATACCATTTCACAGTGCTTTACAGCCCCCTCCAAGCAGTTTACAGACACAGCATATTGCCCCAATAATCTGGGTCCTCATTTTATCCACCTCGGAAAGATGGAAGGCTGAGTCAGCCTTGGGCCTGTTGAACTGCCAAATTGCAGGCAGCTGGAAGTCAGCAGAAGTAGCCTGCAGTACTGCATTCTAACCACTGTGCCACCATGACTCATGATGAAGGATAGACTGGACTTTTTGGCAAGACGATTATTGTGTTGTCAAGAAGAATTATTCAATAATGGATATTGCAGAGATATTTATAGCACAGACTTACGAACTTTAGACATGGGATGCAATTGTTGGGAAAGTTTCCAATTAAAAACCTAAGGAAAGATTTTATTATTAAGAACCAAACAAGGGTGCTTCCTCAGAGATAATTAGGATGATTTGTGGTAAATAAGAGATGGTGTAGCCTATAAGTAAATTACAATAACGGACTGTTAACAGAATGCTTTGAACTTTAATTTGTCTGTTTATTCTGTTAACTTTTTTCTTTTATATATGTAATGTATAGCAGGTCAATTGGGTTACAAATTTTGGAGCTGTTTTGCAAGGGAAGAAGCTATTTGTCAGCATTCAACTCCAGGCCCATGGGCTGGATGCATCAAGTGCTGGCCATTCCCATGCCCAGTTTAGCAAAGGGAAAAAAAGTTCCTATATGTCACGTGACGCTGCCATGACGCTGTGAATCCGACATCCCTGAACTAGGGGATAATATATGCTTTTGTTTTAGTTTATATTTTTAAATATTTTTGTCTAGTTTTGTTTTGTCTCTGTTAAACTCTTTCTTTTGTATTTTGTATTTTGATCTTTTGAATAAAATAAAACATTGAGCAAAAAAATAGAATCTTATCTTATTGATTTGTTAGGTGACTATTGCATTTTTCTACATTTGAATTTTAGAAATAGCCTAAGGATTAGATTGTTTGCTGGCCTATTAGCTGAGAAAATGATGTAATCATTCTCCTGCCTAAATTTGTACTTATCCTATGCAGTTGTATAACACAAATATAGTAGTTCACAAATTGCATTAATATACAGTGTAATGTGGTTTGGTTTTTTTTTTTTTTTGCTTAATGAATTTATAATAGTTTAACCACACTGTATTTAAGTGAGACATGGTACATTTACTTATTACAGCTTTAGAAATTTATATTAAGTCACCTTAAACTGGACAATATGCATTATGATTTTTCTTCCTCAATGTGATAGTTATCGTATGACTGTTGGCTGTCAATTTTAATTAGTGAATACTTGTATTAAATACTTCTTACTTGTGATGAAACTATTTTCAAACAGTGAGTTTGTCTGAAGGCAGGTTGAGTTTTCTCTGTTAAAAGGGACTCAGTCTAATTTTTAGATTGTGCCAGTTTCCATATTTATCACAATAAATATTACGATTTTTAAAATATCTGCCTTTTTTTCATAGAATCAGAATGACTGCCCAAGTTACTCTGGAGGATGCTTTGTCCAATGTAGATCTCCTAGAAGAATTGCCACTGCCAGATCAACAACCATGCATTGAGCCCCCTCCGTCATCGTTGCTTTATCAGGTATGATTTTTCTTAAATATTTGCTGGCAAATGTAATATTTAGAAGTATTCTAGATTAATACAAATGAATTGTTTTTCCCATGATTATTCATTGTTTTGGGTCATTTTTCATTCCATACAGCCAAATTTCAATACCAATTTCGAGGACAGAAATGCGTTTGTCACAGGCATTGCAAGATATATTGAACAAGCAACTGTTCATTCTAGTATGGTAAATATATTTTTCTATTAGATTTTAATATCTTTACAGCAACAACAGTAGACATATTTTTTAGCATAATGAATTTCCTTCTGGTAGAGCTTTATTATAGTAGAAAGAAATAAAGAATTATGTTTGTGCATTTGCTTTATCTAGAAATATTTCATATTTTAATATTGTATTTAGGAATTATTTGTAATTAGTTGAGAATAATATTTATTTTTGAAATATCTCATTCTTAGCAATGATACACAATTATCATCTGTTCTTGGAACTTTTATGTGTTTTCATGTGATCCATAATGAGTTTTTTAGTGATGTGGGAAACAACTCCAGAGTTCTTTAAAAGAAATGGGATGAAGTGCCAGTTTAAGCATTTTGGCTATTTAAATAGCAGTGTAATAGCAGGTGAATGTTATTGTTATTAATCCTAAGGATAACATTGATTTTACTAATGTTACTCAGCCCATAGCTGTAGCAAAGTGGAAGCAAATCTAAAGCTTCTGCTAATCAATTACTTCTCCAGGCCGCCTCTTACAGTCAGAGATGCTTGAATAGAAGAAAAAAATGGTTGGTGGAAAACATCCAGAAACAGTTTAAAATGCAGCCAGGTGAAACGGGAGAAGAAAAGACAAAGGCAGAGAATAAACTAAGTCAGTATCCAAGAAGTCAATCCAAGTTTTCAGGACAGTGTGCAGGATTACAGGAACACATTAGGAAAAGGTGTTTCCCCATTTGGCAAACCTACACCTAAATGGCATATAGTTCAGTCAGAAGGCAGACCCAGGAGTGATTCTGAGTCGAACATTAATTGCTGAGAGCTTTTTTGTGTAATCTCTCACTTCTGTACTTGAAGGGACCTTGGACGTTTTCTAGTCCAATACCCTACTGAATCAAGAGATCCTATACTATTCCAGACAAATGTCCAGTTGTCCACTAATGTCCAGTCTCTTGGAGATAGGACATACCTAGCAATACTGTTCTTGCAGCTTGGATGTTACTCTGAGGAAATTTGATTAGAGCAGTGGTGTCAAACTGACGGCCTATAGGCAAGTTGAGTCACATGCAGGCCACGGCCACACTAACTCTGCAAAGGGACAAAAACACCGCGATACATCACATGACGGCAACTGACGCTGCAAGTTTGACACCTATGGATTAGAGCCTCTGGCCTATAAAATCAACTCTTATTATTGAAGCAGTGTAGAAGTTTCAGGAATATACTGTAAAAGTTAATGCATTCTTACTGGCATGGATCAAGATTCAGTGACTTCATTAGCTTCTAAGTTTTCCTCTCACTTCTTGGGTTGAGTTACTTATGAGAACTGACAGTAAGTATAGGTATAATTCCTGCTTAAGGTATAAAATGATCCTTAATGAAAACCTGGAAAAGAAAGTTCTGTCCAAAGTGGCAGAGGTGGTTGTGGCAGGGACATGTGCAATAATACATATTTTGTGCAGAAGCCCTAGTTTGGCACCTTCAATTTAAAAGAATGCCGGGTAGCAAGTGATATGAAAGACTTTTTGCCTGAGATTTTGGGAATCTTGGTTAGAATAGAGATACAGATGAACAAGTAAATCTTCTGAAAAGTAGCTTCTTATATAGGATCTAGACAAGTCTGTGAGTTTGCTCTAAAGTAACAATTTTGCCTTAGGCACATACTAGTTCAGGTTCATAACAAACTTCCCCTTTTCATTTTTTGACAAGATGCTCAATATTCTTTGCAACATTAATAATTATCTTAATAGATCTGATTTTAAATGAGATTTGTGGAAGAATTGGGGCTTTTAACCTAATTAAGAAGCACATTTTTTTGTTGATGTGCTTAAGATTTAGAGAAATAATGCAACATATTTTCATTTTTCCCCATGTTTGTTAGCTTTGATCATTTCTGTGCATTTTATACCTTATATGTTAGCTTTGGTTTTATTACAGAATGAAATGCTGGAAGAAGGTCAAGAATATGCTGTTATGCTGTACACATGGAGAAGCTGTTCAAGAGCTATCCCGCAGGTAGAATACCTTAGGATTATTACTATAATGTCGCATAGAGACTTATAAACAATAGTATCTTGCAGTTGCATAAGAGTAAGATTCTTCTATAAATGGATCAGTCTCTGGGCTTTTTGCTTACAGGCTGTATTATTGTGTAGCTTAATAATACGTTTCCTACACATAAATGCTTTCAGTGACCTATTAATCATTTCAGGCTTTTTAGACATAATTGCTAAACCACTGAGGTTAGATGGAAGAAGTGAACTAGAAATACATTGGACGAACATAAAAGAAGATTTCCCCATACCCCCTCCCCTTTTCAGTTGCACAGATGTTGGGAATATCAGCTAACTGGACGTCTCTTTGTTTACAAAGCAGATCCAAAGTGCCCTTTATTGCCTTCAGGGCCAAAAATAAGTATATCATTCATGTTTCTAAGAGAAAACATGCATGACCCTTTCCAATATGTTTCTCTAGTCACAGAAAATATGTGGAATAATCTCGGGTTCAGGGATAAGTAAAAACTGTCTTGCAATATTTTGAAATGCAAAATCCACATAACGATATCCTTGTTGACATTTGAAATCAACCCAATTTAATCTCTCTTGGACTATCTGTAAATTCTGAAGAGAGAAAACTCATGTTTTATGATCTCTCTTCTTTTGCTACTTTTCACATTCATATACTCTAATAATATGAATAATAATATGAAGTGGGGTTCCCTCGTCAGATTTCTCCATTTTCAGTCTCCTCATGAAGTGTCCTCATGACTTCATGGTCACAACAGTATGGAAGTAGTTTGCTGTTGCCACTTTTGGGCTTTTAGATTTTTTTTTCAAAAAAGTTTAGCCTGCAACCTGGAATTGCCTAGTTTCCTTCTATACAAGATTATTACGATACAAGATTACTGGTACTAATCCAGTTCTTTCCTGCTTAGGTCTTCAAAGTCAGCCAGGAGCAGATAGATGCTAACATCTGGTAGAGCTCTTCTTATACTCACCTATATACTGTTTCTATCCACAGGCTTTTAAGCAAAGAAACAGAATTAATACTGGAATAGCAGCAAGCTTCTTTTAAAATTTAGTTTTGCCCCCTATTTTTTAATCTTCAGTTGACAATTCTTTTTTACAGTTTATAAATTCTTTGATATGTGGAGAAGAAGTGGTTTGGGAAACTGTGCTTCTGGGCATATATTCTTGATCATTGAGTCTTCCCTTTTCAGCCCCAATGAGCAGAAGACAATTTATTTCCTTCAGTTTGCCAGTCCAACAGGCTTAACACTTAAATCTATTTGCAGCCCTTCTGCTGCTACAATTTGGTTGCAGTCCAAGAAATTGCAAATATATTTGTTTCTTTATCATTTGGGGATAACTTTTCTTTTACATTCTGCATATCACAGCGCAGGAGATATTGCAGAAGATCTCTAGTCCCGCTCTAGTCCTAGACAAGTTCATTTGAGGGCTCTTTACTTGAATCAGCATGCCTGATTCTTTTTATTATGGAAATGATCATCTTTGTGAATTTCTCTTTTCCAGCTAGTTTTATATTATTATAACCCAGTAATGAGAGGAAAAAAGATACAGTCTAACATCTTGACAATGACATTTTCTGTTTGTTATAAAAATCATAAAAGACCAACTGCATGCTCCTACATTGTGTAGGAATGACTAAAACATGTTTTTAAAAAACTTGAACTTCCCTTAAAAAATGAAACATACATTGGAAATTGTTGAATTTGATGAAATCTGTACTACTTTGCTGACAGTTCCAAAAGTTACTGAAAAGTATCATTCTCGAGAAAAGAAAGAAATTCATTGAAATCAGTATTGCTTTCTCTTATTTCCAACAAAGTAATTAGTCAGATCCTAAGTATACATAAGATCCTTGGGACTGGAAGATATATGCTGTGATTCCAGGGAAAGAATAGGCCCAATAAGTTTTTATTTATATAATCCATCAATCTTAAAAACCATCACTCAGGTAAAATATTTTTAAAATCAAATATTTGTGAAAACTGTTATTATTAATAAAAAGAGTATAAAAGGTTCTTTTTAAAAATAAAGCCATATTATATGGCAGAACATGATTTAAAGTTTCTTTAACTTTTCTTCCTTTTCAGGTAAAATGTAACGAGCAGCCCAACAGAGTGGAAATTTATGAAAAAACTGTGGAAGTACTTGAACCAGAGGTCACCAAGCTGATGAATTTTATGTATTTTCAGGTAATAAGTTATTAATTACTAGCATAAGTGATGATCTCTCTGTCCAACCCGCCTCCCCTTTTTTTTGATGCACCTATTCTGGTGTTCCCCTTGCCATAACTTATCTGTTGAATAGAAGATGCTTTATATTGTTCTAAATAAAGACTAGGTGTTTGAATGTGTCTGGAAAAATCCGATTAATGCAATTTGTGTATATAGTCTGGTTCTATTGGCATCTTGTTGTACTTGCAATTAAGAGGGAAATAGCTTGCCCTTTGTGCTGTTTTTTTTTTTAAATATGGATTTATTTCTTATGCACAGAGAAATGCCATTGAAAGATTCTGTGGAGAGGTGAAACGTTTGTGTCATGCAGAAAGGAGGAAGGACTTTGTATCTGAAGCTTATTTGATCACTCTTGGAAAATTTATCAACATGTTTGCTGTTTTAGATGAGCTGAAAAATATGAAATGCAGTGTGAAGAATGACCATTCAGCCTACAAGCGGTGAGAGGTTTATAAAAAATTAACATGTTCAATAATGAATTTAATACTAAAAACAAGCAAATTAGTTTCATCCCAATATTAACCACCTACAAATTTTATAAAGTCATTTTTTTCTATGCTTATAAAATAAGTTACTTTTTGCACGCAATTCTGCTTTATATAGTAAAATGTATATGGCCATCCATCTCAAATATCTGAATCTGGGAAGCTAACATAAGCAGAAAAAAACCTATATATTTATAAAAAACATAAATAAGTAGCAGCTCAGCAAACAGCCTAAAATTAACTTCTCAGTTAATACAACCCAGAAACAGACTCACCCATATAATCAGGACTCCAGGTTCAATAGCAAAACAGGCCTTTAAGGCTTTGCAAAACACAAGTAAGGTCAGGGTGAGCCTGATTGTCATGTTTTCTATACCAGTTCATAAATTTAGATATTTCTAATGCTCTTCTGTGTTTTACAATGTCTACTTTGCTAATATTGGTAGAATGAATATATGTTGGAAATCTAAATATGTTTTCTAAATAGCACATCAATAACTAGAATTTCCCAGTAACTGGTAGGTCTTTTACTAAATATTCCATAAGGCATCAATCCAGGATAATGGATATGCCACACAGAATCATCTTACAGGGGAGATGGGTGGCATAAAAATTTAAATGAATGAATGAATAGTTCATTTGACTAAAACATGATTAAAATCTGCTTCAGATGCTTGCTTGCTATCACAATAATACAATCATCGCAGTATATTTCATTTTATTTAAATGGAGCTAGATACCAGCGAACCACAGTATTTATTTCAAATGACTCACTCTGCAGGATTTTCCCTTTAGGAGAAAAACACTATTTAGAATAAAAGTAGACTGGGACAGTTAGACCATAAGGTGGCAATAGTTTGCTTTAGTCATAAGTCATTGTTCCTGTTGAAAAGATATACACAGAACTTTGATACAATTATTTCATTTTATATACTTCATCTGTGCAAAATAACTTCATAGTTAGGTTCGAGATGAAATATTAATCAACCTTTGTTAAAGACATGGCTCAAACAGTTGTAATAAATTGTTACCTCTGGTTCATGTAGGTAGATGTTCTGCTTTCCATCTATCCCTTTGCTTAGACTAAATACTGAATACTGTAAATCTGTCATGATGGCAGAAAACTGTCACTTATGATTTGTGGGAAGGTTTGTGCCACAATACTGAACCCTTCAGCAAAAGCTGCCACTCAATTCATCTTGTTTTCAGTTCACTGAAGATGATTTTTTTTCTGCCCACATAAGAAGGGTGTGTATGATATGTACAAGGCCTCATCTTTTGCTATAGTAAAATGCACGATATTCATTGAATACATTAGAACTTGCTCCTAAGTTTTTACAAGCTGCACAAAATCATCTCTTCTGAGATGACGCTTGCCAAAATCTGCCTGGCAGAAATGAGCCAGGTGGTTGATTATGATGTTAATTATAATTATTAATTAATGGGCTCATGAACCTGGTTTCCTGTCCTCTCCTCTCCTTTCCTTTGACAAATACATTACATGCAGGATTTCCTCAGGAATCCTATGTCCCCATAGTATCTGTTGTTTGCTTTTGCATTCACAATCTGCTGTTGCCTTTGTGGGTTGGAAAATGAAGAATACCTGATGCTTTTTTAAAAAATCAACTTTCACCTGGTAATTGAAAATGACAAATTTCTGTTTTCACTTCATTATCTAATATGTTTCTTACATATTTCCATTCCTTTAAGTGTCTTGGTAGATTCTTTGAAACCTTAAATACATCAAGCTTATTTCATAGGAGTTTTTAATCTGTTGTTGAAAATACTATTTTACTACTCCTTTTCTTCTGTACTTCTACAACTTCATTATCTAGGTAATCCTCGACTTATGACCACAATTGATCTCAAAAATTTCTGTTGCTAAGCGAGACAGTTGTTAAATAAATTTTGCTCCATTTTATGACCTTTGTTGCCACAGATGTTAAATGACTTGGTGCCATTGTTAATTTAGTAACACAGTTGTTAAGTGAATCTGCCTTCCCTATTAACTGTGCTTGTCAAAAGGTCGCAAATAGTAATTACATGATCCCGGGACACTGCAATCATCATAAATATGAGTCAGTTGCCAAGCATTTAAATTTTGATTGTGTGACTATGGGAATATTGTAAAGGTTGTGTGAAAAATGGTCTTAAGTCACTTTTTTCTGTGGTGTTGTAACTTCAAATGGTCACTAAATGAACATAAGTCAAGGACTATCTGTAAGAGAATAATTCATAGAATTTAAGAGTGATATCTTGCATTCCAGTCTATTTTGGTTACATGTTTTTTAATCCACTTTTATTCTTACCAAAGATGGGTTAATAACATGAAATATCTAAATAAGGACTTATATGAAGAAGAAGCAACAGAGAAAGGAAGACTGTTAATTTCGGGCAATATAGTTATTTTTTATTTAACTAGTCAGCAGAAGAGAGATTAGAACATTTAGAATTAGAACATTTTCTTTTTAAAAACATAGCCATGATTGTTAAGAACTAATTTACTAAATCCAGTGACTTTCTTAGATGAAGTATTTTCAGTGTTTACTTCTCAGCATTAGGAACTACCAAGGAAGAAGGTTCACCTTTTCAGTGAAAAGAAAAGCATTTCTGCTTACATACCGTACAATGTGTTAACAGATCTGGTTGGGGAACTGAATACTAGTTTTTATTAAAATGCCTTTAATAATTTTTACTGCAATTAAAACTATAATATTTTATAATGTAATAAACTATAGTAATATCATGGCTTTACTTTCACATTATGATTAGCTTTTTTTCTTATTACTCATTCACTGAACCTGAGCAGATGGTAACCGTGGTTGCTTTAAAAAGTGTTGCATATGTCAGGACAAAAATTTTAGATGGCAACCCTAGAAAATCTCAGGATTTGTAGGCTAGGAACAGTGGTGGGATTCAAATTTTTTTAGTACTGGTTCTGTGGGTATGGCTTGGTGGGCGTGGCAGGGGAAGGATAATGTAAAATCTTCAGAGAGATAATCAGAGGTGGTATTTGCTGATTCTCCAGACTACTCAAAATTTCTGCTACTGGTTCTCCAGAACTGGTCAGAACCTGCTTAATATCACCTCTGGCTAGGAAGATAAGAGAATGCATAATCACAGGTACTGTAGCTACTATGAATCTTTCCTTTTTACTGATTTATTAAAGATACAGCCTCTATTTCTTAATTTATATAACTGATTGTGAAATAACATTAACTTACAGATATAAACAATTTGCAAGAAATCATAAAATGGTATAGTTATTTTTGTAGATTTAACTAATTTTCCCTTTTTTCCTGGAAAGGGCGGCCCAATTTTTGCGTAAAATGGCTGATCCTCAATCTATCCAAGAATCCCAGAATCTTTCCATGTTTCTTGCCAATCACAACAAGATTACACAGGTATGTTTTACATTTAACACTAACATTATATAAATAAACCACTAATTATTCCATGAATTTACATTATTCAAGTTTAATTACATTTACAAAATTCATTTTTTTGCTGTGTAATTAATAAAAGTATAAGCACTTCTAAGTGTGCCTGGTCTTACTAATAGTGGATGGTATTCATTGATTCTTTTTTCATTGTTTTAGTATGATTTAAAACAATGTTAAATCACGTTTTATTTTATTCTAGTCTTTACAGCAACAACTGGAAGTAATTCCTGGTTATGAAGAACTACTGGCTGATATTGTAAATTTATGTGTAGATTATTATGAAAACAAAATGTACCTAACACCTAATGAAAAGCATATGCTTCTAAAAGTAAGTTATATTGCTGGAAACTATATAAAAACAGGGTGAGATGCTATGGGGTGAGGTGCTGGCAACTTGAAATTCTAATATATCAGAATAATTATTCTATTTAAATATTTATAGCTTTTTATTGTTTCCTGTATAAAAAGGAAAAATCTTCCTTTCCTTTCCTTTCCTTTCCTTTCCTTTCCTTTCCTTTCCTTT